CACCACCTGCACTTCGTCCAGAAATACCACCTGCAGCCGCCGAACTACAAGTCAACACAAACCCTCCGACGAAAGTCGAAGTCCTGAACGCCATAAAGCTACTGAAATGTGGGAAAGCAGCAGGACCAGACGGGATACCGCCAGAAGCACTGAGAACAGACGCAGAGACAACAGCAGACATGCTCGCACCACTATTGCAGAAGGTGTGGAAGGAAGAGAAGGTACCTGCACATTGATTAGAAGAAGGGTTACCTTGTCAAACTACCGAAGAAAGGAGACCTCAGTGTCTGCAAGAATTGGCGCGGAATCACTCTCCTGTCCACCCACACCAAGCAAAATATTAAGCCGCATCATCCTGGAGAGGCTTAAAGATGCACTGGATTCAAAACTGCGACCGGAACAGGCAGGCTTCAGGAAGTACAAATCATGTGCAGACCAAATTGCAACGCTTCGCATCATCATAGAACAGAGCATAGAATGGCAATCAGCTCTCTACCTCAACTTCATCGACTTTGAGAAGGCCTTTGACAGCGTCGACCGAGAAGTAATTTGGAAACTGCTTCAACACTACGGAATACCGCAAACCTTTATCCACCTCATTCAACAACTATATGAAGATGCCACATGCCAAGTAATTCACAATGGGAAGCTCAGTGATGATTTTGAAGTGAAGACAGGAGTGAAACAAGGTTGCCTACTATCCCCCATGATATTCCTGATTGTGGTCGACTGGACTGGATCATGCAGCAAACAGTGGGGAGCGAGAAGAGGGGGATACACTGGACTGAGGAAAAGAACCTAGAAGACTTGGATTTCGCCGAAGACTTGTGCCTGATGTCACATAAACTTGAAGATCTACAGGCAAAAACTAACAAGTTGATAGAAGAGGCAGCGAAGACGGGACTTCAAGTGAATATAGGGAAGACAGAGGTGATGAAGATACCGCACCACCACCAAAAACAACAAACTCCAATCACCATAAACGGGAGAAAGTTAATGGAAGTAACCTCCTTCACCTATCTAGGAAGCACTGTTTCAACTACAGGCGGGACGGACGAGGACGTCAAAGTCAGAATCGGAAAAGTAAGATAGGCGTTCATTAGCCTGAAACCAGTGTGGAGATCTTCTGCACTCGGCATTCGGAACAAGATACGGATCTTCAACACCAACGTCAAGTCATTGCTTCTGTATGGCTCAGAGACTTGGCGCGTCACGAAAGGGATTTCCAATAAACTACAGACATTCATCAACAACTGCTTACGCTCGCTACTGAAGATCAGATGGCCAGAAAGAATAAGCAACAAGGAGCTCTGGGAACGAACCAACCAAGAACCTATCACGCAACAAATATGCAGGAGGAAGTGGAGATGGATTGGGCATGCACTGAGAAGGCCGACTGAGGACATCACGCGTCAGGCCAGGCCCTCGAGTGGAATCCCCATGGGAAGCGACGAGTTGGACGTCCGAGGAGAGGGTGACATGGAGGAGGTCGTGCGAGGAAGAAATGAGAGCTTCTGGGCTGTCGTGGAACCAGGTTCAAAAGATCTCAGAGAACAGAGGTCACTGGAGACGTGCTACTGAAGCCCTATGTTCCACTAGGAACCCAAGGGACTTATAATAATAATAATAATAATAATAATAATAATGATAATTTAGTGAAGTGTGCTCACAACTTTGCACTGTACTGCAGCTACTACGCTCTTGAAATATATATCACCATGACGGTTGATGAACACGTAAGCTTATCAGAAAATACAGATGTGAGAGCAAGTAGAAATACTGGAATATTTTATGTGGCTAACAATTCTTTGATCAGATGAGAATTTAAGCGAATACCTTTTTTCGTTGTAGTCTCATTAGGTTTCACCTTTGAACACTAATAAACCTACAAATGTTCATTGGTTATCTGAGTCCGAATATTGACAGTTACCTGTGCATGTAACTACTTTGGGATTAAAATTGTGTAACTATTTATTTCATGGGGTTTTGGTCAATGAAAGTAAAAAAGATCAGTAAGAATAGAGATTTTCTGTTACAGTCTCACTAAACGTTCTAAAAAGCTCTATTAGGAGGTTAGTAGCTACTGAAGTTAATAACTACGAATATTAATAAAAGCTACATGACGTATGTATTGTCAGGACATTACTTGCTAACGGTCTTTATGCTTTCATGAACCGAAGGTTTTAACATGAGCGATTGCAACATGCATTTACATCCTTATACCTTATTAGTCATCCAACAGGGTTATATCACTGGAAAAAAATGAGTTATAAATTTTAGTACCAAAAAGTTAAGATGCTTATTGTACGAAAGTTCACCATCGAAACGTTCAACACGATTTTCCAGCCTTAGCGAGAATTTAGTGTCAAACTACTGAGCAAAGTAATACTCAGTGTAAATGGAAACACATCTAGCCTGTTACATATTTTTAACTGTGTGATACATACGAATCTTAATTTGTCACTATTCAGTTAACGAAGAACACTATCGATCTCAAAGTTTCTGTAGTAGTCTCAAAAATATGGAGGTCATCTGATAGCCTTTGGCTGCTTTTTAAATGATCAATCCTTATATTAATTTACTCAGTAAAAACTTCATATCAGTAGAAATATAAATTATGCTCTGTATAAGTTAAGAGGAAAAGCGAAGTTTGCAAATTTAACTAGCCTGGCATAGAATGTAAGCGTAGTTATTCTTCTACGTGTTCATTACCGGTTGGTGACCGATGTAAGTGTTTAAACTAAGTGACATGACATTGAGATGCACTTTTTAGTGTTAAAAAAATACTAGAAGTCGGTTGGAATGATTACCTGAACATTTGATTTGTACTTGTCGGTACTTATCAACAAGACCTATCTCCAAACTTGAGGAAATCCCTTTTCCCTCCAATTTTCTAATGCTTATCACTCAGTGTTAGATAAGCTACCACCCACTAACCAATTTACCTATATAATCCCGTTGTATAGGGAGAATAATATAGTTTCCTATCTTAGCGGTGAATGCAATAGGCTTGAAACTCCCACAGAATATATGTGTTTCTTCAAGGTTACCGGCACGTTATGACAGCTTGTCAAAAAGTATGGAATCTATGTTTAAGTCAATCTGCTGCCTAACTTTTAATATTTGATACCAAACAGTCATACAACTCACTTGCTTTTATAGTTAGTGGCATTGTTGAGGTCTGAGCATTATGAAAGACCAGCATTTTCACCGGTTCGTGTGTTTATAATGCTGCATTTTCATTAAAATGATAAACGCGATATCTTTTACAGACCTACAGCACTTAAAAGTTAGTGCTTTTTATCTCTCACTAAGCTTTCATTTTTTTCTTTTCTAGTTAAGGAAAGTGAGTGATTCAAACTCTAATTAATTGAATGGTATACACCGATCTCTTTCAGAGACCACGGGCATGATTATGCACCAAGCAATAGGGAACACCTACTTTTTAAGGTCTAGCGATGCTGACTGACTGGTCAAACCTCAGTAGGTGGAGCTGAGTTTGAACTTGTAACTGAGTGGTTGAAGGCTGAGTGCCGAAACCAGTGAGCTACAGCTCTGACATGAAAAAAGTGTGTAAGCTAGGCTAGGCATCTTCAGCTTCCAACATGTTCAAGTGAAAAGTTTAATGTGATCCGAATATTTCAGGTAACATTTCACTCGTAAATGGAGTTATATGCTAAACAGTCAATAAAAAGATACAGCTCACGAGACAGAAGTGGTTTTTACACTGAGTAACTGGTTCATGATCAAATTTAAATGCCATATCTGAACTACCTCAACTTCTTAGGCAAAAGGAATGTCTATTCAGCTATTCAAACACATTAAAATCCAAATTGATTAAAATATTTATAGATGGTTGGCAGTCAGCCTGGATTCATTCTAAAACTTTCATCTAATAAAATTCACAAATCACAAGATATTCTGATCACTAAAACTACTGTTATGCAACAGTTTTCAAAGACGAATCAAGTTATATTTAAATAACTTGTATTCACCTTGATTTTATTCAGAAGAAGATAAACAGTATATTCCTAGTAGATAGTTGTACTCTAAAGTTTAAATGTTTTCGTGCATAAAGTATTTTCGATAAGTGTATCCTGCTGAATTTAAGAATTTCAAGTTTCGTTTTTGTACGTAATCTACTGCTGTCCACAGGAACTCAGTGATATCTGATTACATTGAAATCAAATAATACAATATTATTAAATTCCTCAAGTACATTAGTTTTAGGTGTGTGTGCAATAATCTATGTGGAGCACCAGATTTAGATATCTGAGTAACCAGATAGCATCTGAAGTAATAATATGTTGGATAAAATATTTAAAAAAACATGGTAAAAACATGACGTAAATCACTCTATGAAGTCTCTAACATCTGGTCTGAATCGAATTGTAAGTTACATGCCACATTTCTTCAAAATAACTAGATAAATAAGTTTTAACTTAATCCCAGAATGTTGAGAAAATCAAACAAGATTATTCTGAACGTTTCACTGCGTGAGCCACAGCTTCTTCAGAATGTCAAGATCGTTCAACTGAAAGCTAACATGACTTCACAAAATCACTATTATTGATACTAAAATATCCACTCCTTTTCTACTGCTAAATATTTTATTCGCTCTTACATTATCTATCTATTAATTCCAATAGCTCTGTCTTACTGCATTTTGGGAATGCTTCCAAACCATGTTACATTCTTTCTCACCAAGAAGCTCCTACCAGTCAATATCAAATGTTAAAAAAGATGCACTTACATTTCTTTATTCCAAAAATCACTGAATAAAAAATAAAATAAGATGAAAAGATAAATCCAGTTACATCATCATCTTGGTTTCTTACGTAAACAACAACAGCAAACCATAGATACGTCTACATGAAATTAAAGCCATTTCTTCTGACGAAAATAAACGATTTGTGGAAAAATAAAGTTTTTGTAATATCCCATACTATATATATATATATATATATATATATATATATATATATATATATATATATATATTACTGAACGTTGATATGTTTTGTTTGAATCTTCTAATGTTCAGACCATGATTTTGCGTATTTTGTGCATTTTGATGAAGCGGATGACTTTGAAGCGCTTGAAGGAGCTGATATGTTCAGATTTGATTTGTGTAAACGTATCCATTTGCCGGAATCACTATACATTAAGTGACAAATACTTGGCTGTGAAGCTTTTTCAGTTGGATTTAACAGTTCTGTTTGTATTGTAGGCATGCGATTTAACTGCTTATTATTATTAGTAGTATTATGTTTATTGGTAGTGTTATTAACAAGTCGAGTTAGGTCTTGCGATGAAATCACTTGTGGGATAGGCAATTTAGATGGATTTATGCTACTACCATTAATAACACTGTTTGTAGTATTGACGGAGTTCATATGATCGAATAGTGCTTTAGGTAAAATATCATTCATCACATTAGTTGAATTCAGGTATCTGTCATGTTTTCTACTTCTTTCACATATATAAAAATTACTATTCAGATTATTCTTTAATGTTCGAACATTTCCTTGATCAACTTTTTCATGACGTTTACGCAGATTTTCCAACACATCAGAAAATTCACGTCTCTCCAATGAAAGCCGTTTCAATTCCCATTCTAACTGTTTGTCTAATTGAGATCTTAACGACTGTAATCGATTTCTTTCAACTAAATTTCTAGATTTTACAAATCTTGCCACATCTGGATTACGTGAACATTGTTCCCATTCTGTTTCTTCACGAACTTCGTCTAGATTAAATTGATTCTATTTAACTTTCGTATAAAAAAACACAAGCACTCACCATTTATAGAGGAATAAAAACACCTAGAGAGAAATGAAACAGAAACTACCTGTGCTGAATATACCTTTTTCTCCACATATACCTGTCGATTAATAGGACAAATTGGCAATGAATGTTTTCACGAAAAGTGTCATTTATTATAGGGTAAGTGACCTTAAAGTCAGGGTTGAAACACCCACGCAAGTCTGTGAATATAACCTGCTAAAAACACTATGACAACAGTTTATATTGTTTGATAGAACACTCAAATTATGTACAAATATTCACATGAACATTTATGTGCACATGATCTACATAAATGCAGACAATATGCACGATAGCTGAAGGATATTTTGTGTCCAAAAATATAAATTTGCATAAATGTGTTTGTGTACGTTTGCGCTTATTTGTGTGAAATGCGTATAAGTGGTACCCAATTAAAAGATAGATTTTATTGAGCTTTATTGAGAAAGTGGCTATAAACCTCAATAAGGAATGTAGGAAAAAACCATCAGATAACATTATTCATCTCAGAATCAACTGGATGCGATTCGTTTATGAGCTACAAAGTTAAAGAAATGTTTCTAAAATATATGCAAATAGACTCAAAACTGCTGGTTATCGCTTCACTATTCGTGCATTACACCACATCCAATTATGAACAATATCTGGTAAGCTTGTGCAACGATAACGCTATTTTTTGGCTGGGACAGTGATACAGGTATTGGCAACATAAAATTCCTGATAACAATAATTATTTCAGGGTGGTATTTAACAGAATCTGAAATCAGTTGGAGAACCATTGAATACCTGGGAGCTCTGATCAGCTGTTTCATCCTACCATAATATTCCTCATCAGTACCCAACTCCGAGCCTGCCAGAGATCAAAGTCAGGGCCTTTGCGTCTCGCGGCGAACAAGTTAACCATCAAGCCATTGGTCACAACGTTCGCTATGAGACCTGAAGGCTCTGACTCCTTGGTGAGGTCGTGGTTGTGCTTTGCTAAGTAGTCCCGTACCAAGATGAAACAGCTGTCCAGCGCTCTCAGGTTTTCAGTGATTCTAAGTGGTGTCAGATCATTAGGAATACTACCTTGAAATAAATAAAATCTCCCAAGATCTCAAACTAAAACAATAATTATTCCATTAAAACAACAGTCTTCATACACCATGAACCGAAGCAAAAAAATCTTGCAAATTACCTTCAGATCCGGAACCTTATGAAGTCACCCTGTTCAGCTCTGCTTTCACATTAAATTTATTGTTGAAACTGAGTTTTCGGATAGGTCCACTTTTAATTAGATTTTGTATTTTTCCAATGGTGTCATATAGATTTTTGATACACACCTGCACATAAATCTGTGCTTGTTTAACAAGTAACATTTAGCTTTATAAAAGCCAACGTCAAATTTATGATGATTAGGATTATTCAAATAACAATGCTTGGGTGAAAATTTTTTATATAATTACTATGCGTCAGCTGGTAGTTTTCTAACCGCTTGCTTTATTAGTTGAGGTGTATTATGTAATTTGTATTATATAAAGAAGACTGTCATAGTCTTCATGTGTACATAATTTTGAAAACAATTATAAAGTTATGGTTAGCGTGTTTCGGCGACGGAAACAATATCACCTAAAGTGATCGATGGATTTTAAGCAACGTATACTTTTACTGCTGATGGATTAACCACGATATTTAGAAATATCATAAAGTTGTCTAAGAATACCGATTGGTAGGATTCCGCCTATACTGACGACTGCATAGGTCAACACTGCTTGACTTCTACTGGTGGATAACAGTATGGTATATATATTTGTCAGCATGTGTCAAAAATATGCATATCCAGTTTCAAAACTGATTTGTGTCATTGCAGAGACTTAAACTAAGAAATATGCTACAATCCTCTGACAGCAGCTAGTAACAAAATTGAAAAAGAGCATATTTAGGACCCACTTCACTTAGACTTCAGTTTAAACCAGAATCCAGAATTACACAAAACAAAAACGCCGACAAATGGCAGCCGTAACATGAAAATAAAACTGCCAACTTACCTGGTGGAATCTTCTTGAAATTACTTTGGTATGCTAGTACAGTGAGCACTAGTTGTTCATAATGAAACCATCTATATGTAGTTGAGGCTGTTTTATGAAATACTTCCGTTTGTGCGCTAGTATACATTTTATATATATATATATATATATATATATATATATATATATATATATATATCGATGTAACACCAGAAATATCTAAAAACTGACTATGCTGTCGACTGAATTTTATTAGCACAATATTACTTGACATAAAGGATGACCATGAAAATTCCTCTCACTACCAAAAATACACTTATAATCTTTCTTGATTTCTATCATACTTGAGAGCATTTCTTTCTCCATTCACTCAATATTATGCTATGCGGAACAGTTTAGATATGAATCCATGGATCTTTATTCAAAGGAAAACTTTACAGCGTTTACGTTTATTTCACTTGACCTAATATTGTAATTTACAGATTACATTATCATTATTTATACCTTGGGTTCCTAGTGGAGCTTACGGATTCAGTAGCACGTCTCCATTCCAGTCTGTTCTCTGCAATCTTTTGAACCTGGCTCCACGACTGCCCAGAAGCTCTCACTTCTACCTCACACCATCTCCTCTATGTCACCCTCGTCACAGACGCCCAACTCCCCGTTTCCCATCTGCGTTCCACTCGAGCAATTGGCCTGCACGTGATGTCCCCGAACGGTCTTCTCAGTGTATCCCCATTCCATCTCCATTTCCTTCTGCATATTTGTTGAGCGATAGGTTCTTGGTTGGTTCGTTGCCAGGCAGAGTGAGTTCCTTGTTGCTTATTCTTTCTGGCCATCTGATCTGATGCTCAGTATCGAGTGAGCGTGGGTGGCAGTTGTTGATGAATATCTGTAGTTCATTGGGAAGGCTTTCCGTAACGCACCAAGTCTCTGAACCATACAGAAGCACTGACTTGACGTTGGTGTTGAAAATCCGGATCTTGTTCCACATGCTGAGTGCAGCAGATCTACACACTGGTTTCAGGTTAATGAACGCCTGCCTTGCTTTTCCAATCCTGGCTTTGACGTCCTCGTCTGTGTCGCCGCCTGTAGTCGAAACAGCGCTGCCCAGCCTAGTTAGGTGAAAGAGGCTACTTCCTTTAAGTTTCTACCGTTGGTGGTGATTGGTACTTGTTGTTGTCGGTGGTGGTGTTGGTTCGGTATCTTCATCACCTCCTTCTTTCTACATTCACTTGAAGTCCCGTCTTCGCTGCCCCTTTTGTCAACTTGTTAGTTTTCGCCTGTAGATCTTCGAGTTTCTGAGACATTCAGACACAAGTCATCGGCGAAATCCAAATCCTCTAGGATCTTTTCCCCAGTCTAGCGTATCCCCCCTTCTCACTCCTCATAATTTGTTGCATGATCCAGTCCACTACAGTCAGGAATATCATGGGTGATAGTAGGCAGCCTTGTCTTACTCCTGTCTTCACTTCAAAGGCATCACTGAGCTTCCCATTGTGAATTACTTGGCATGTGGCGTCTTCATATAGTTGTTGAATGAGGCTGATACAGGTTTGCGGTATTCCGTAGTGTTGAAGCAGTTGCCAAATTACTTAATTTACAGATTATATTTATATTCAAAATGAAAGATAAGAAATTCTTTATCATAATGCTATCTCAGATCACTTTTATCGGCTTATCCGTATGCGCAAACTTAGGTACATTAGAAGGATAGAGAGACTAGCATTTTTGAACTTCGGTAAGCGTATTCGAAGGAGTCTAAGCCTACAAAGACCGAATGATGGTATCAGTAGTTGAATTCTCCACCATCTGCTGAATATAGGGATGATGTGGGTCTTGAAAGTACTCACAAAATACTATGCAGAAAAACTCATTTCCACCCCCACTTCACTATGTAACAACCGTTGCAGTAAGAACGTTAGAACCTAACTTTTTTATTCAGGCATAATCACTAGTTAACCTTCAGCTGCTTTGTAAACGAAGCGAACAACCCCACTTTCCTATTTTATTTTCGACGATAGCTTTGATGACAACATAACGAGTTGAACTCTATTCTCATGTTGCTTTTCTATTACCCTTATATTCTCCTTCCTATCTTTGTTAACTTATGTCATCGGTTATCGACATTATTCTACAACTGTCATTTCAACTTATAATACGAGTCTACGTAAAAATCTGTTCAACTATCCAGTATCACAATACCGCTTTTAAAAAGATTTTGCTTCTCCTTCATGAACAATTTATTGCCTATTTTCCAAGTTTTTTGACACTTACTTTTCAATGTTTGCCTTTATTAGCTTCTGCGCAGCTGAACGAAATGCAACCAAATACTCTGAATCCACCGTACTTTGCAAACCTGTTAGTTTTTGATTGGTTTAAATATTATTAAATATCGGATGATTCATTGAAAGGAAGGAAAATTGGACCACTGATAACACTAGCTTTTGGTGCGAACAGGACTGTTCCGTGTTTCGTATCAGTCATCTCAGGATTTGCATCAACGAATCTCGCAAAAACAAAACTGTACATCTGTTGTCCAAGAATTTATAAGTCTAAAACATCTACATATCTTCCTCCTTAAACACAGAGTAGATTATTCTTGATAATAATATCTAAATAAAGGAGATCACGTGATATGCATGTTTGATAAGAATATGTAAAAAAATTGACGATGGAATTATAAATCACTCATTGCAATGGTTGATTGTTTTCACTTCAAAAAAAGAACTGACTTCATGCAAATGAAAGAATATGAGACAGACCAAAGTGATAGTGTGAGATACACATCCATAATGCATAGTTTGCCTGAAATTCATAACAGAGGAAACACTGAGAGTTACACTTGCTTGGTTCGAAAAAGCATGGAGTACTATTAAATAACTGAACGCCTTGGTCGAATTTAAAGCAAAATGCATAAGACATTTTACTGAGGTTGATTAATTACGAAGTAAATTTTGCTTATGACCTATTAACTGTGTAAACAAATATGATATCAAACACGCATAGTGGCTAACAGCGGAATTCAGGACGCGGGTTTCGTCCTATTTTAGACCTATCAGCTGGATTTATCCTACCTCTCAGTGAGTGACGTTATTCTCACGAAAACTGGAACCGGGCGCCAATCGCTTCAAATTCCAGAGCGTTATCCTCTAGGCGACTAAGTCATGGTAGCCACTCGTTGTACGACTGGCTTTCGACAGTCTTTGATGTTGTAGCTTGTTAATCTCTGTCGTTGAATGAACCGGACTGATTACCAACTATTGGTAGATGGGCTCCTGTGCGGATCCATCAGTAGTGCTGGTATTTTAAAATTTGATATTGATGAATAACTGACGAGTCCCAAACAGGACGAAATGCGCATCATGGATTCGAATGCCAGACACTATCCATTACTAATATCAAATTTCAAAATACCGGCAATATTAAGGTATACACACAGGAGTTTGTAGCGTCATACACTTCCCCAAAATCAATAGCCTAGGGTTTGACGACTTTCGACATTGATGATGACCTTGATAGTTTAACTGGACTCGCTAAGCTGAAGGCACCCGGTCAAGCATCCTCGCCATTTGGCACGCTGTCGTGTTACGTTGCATTGCTCGTATTCGACTCTCTAGCCAGTTAGTTGGAACGCATCGGTATTTTGGCATAACCATCCAAATATACTATTCCATCCGACTACGCTATCGTGTTCTTCCTTGGTCTCGTATTCGTGGGTATATAACAAGTTCGAATAATTAGTGATTGGTCTTTGCGTCTGTCAAGTTCGCACCAGGACAAATCCTAAAAGTCCATTAGTGGCCGATCAATTCAGACCAATCAATGACGGAGATTCACCGAGAATAGACAAACAAACTGAAAAAGGAAAGGCTGTATAAACGGATCATAATGGAATCGGAAAAACAGGCTCCTAACTAGATTCAAAACAACAATCTTCAATTTATACACTGAATGCTCCATCAGCTGGATGATGTACATGGACTGCATGATGAGGTATCAGTTAACGATTGCGTAAACGCACTGGTTAATAAATTCATTGATGAACACTTAAAATATGTTCACAATAGCTTTAAAACTTATGAACACTAAATTTCAGCAGACTTAGAACTCAAAAGCAAGAAATTTTATGACAGAAATAGCCAATCTCAATAAATCACCACAAACCTCCGAACTGAAGAAATAACTGAATTAAAAAACACAAACAGATAAACTACTGTTGACTTTATTTTAGCATATCAATCATTCGTGTTTATGAACAGTTATTAGGAATAACAATATGAGATCCATTCCAGTCTAATAATTACAACATTGATGGTTATAATAATCGAAGATGTAGTTCTCCTGAAATAATATTTTCTAGTACTATTCTCTATCTAGTTGTACGCCCCATGTAGCTAGCTCCAATAGAGCAATTAAACTGATTAATGTACACAGAACAGGCAAAATCGGGAAGTCTATAGTTATACCGAGGACTTATGAGTAGCTGACTGTAGAAGACAAGTCGTAACTTTGCAGTGGTGAATATTCCCTGAAAACTTCTCAAATGTCGCATTATAATCTCTCTGTTGATAATCCTTTTGAATTTAAGTTTCTAGAAATTAGGTTTTCTAGAGACTTGTATGTCTCTTGGTTTAGCTTCCGTATCACTCATGTATTTGGTCACGAACTTCTCAGGTTATCCCATTAATACTAAGTGGGTTACGCATAATGTAAAGCTCCTGTAGGACGGTTTCATCAAAGCAAACAACTTTGGCCCAATGAACCAAGCATTAAAGATGGTTACTGGATCAAACTCGACATAAACATCAATACTGACCAGGATATCTCATGAAACACATCTATTGTGCAGAACCTCTGCACCGTACTACACGCCAGTGATACATTATATTTGGAGAAAGACAATAAAACAGTCAGTACCAAACCAACAACGCTTCCAAAGCACATCTTACCTTTGGTGCTGTTTGCTGGGCTGGGGTAAATTACTTAGGGAAATAAAGGATCCCCATCAGCACACAGCACATGCTGATTAACATTTAACAGCCCATTATGCTGCAGCAGTCAACCACAGTCTTGATGACTATTATTCCGGAGACAATTAAAATTGATGTCTGGAAACTAGAGGACATGACTTAAAATTTGTGGCTAAGGATAATGTATTTACGTCTTATCTTTACTTTGATAGTGAATACCTTATTATTTTTACTCTTTAAAACGACATCTAAATGTGTCATCCACGCCATACAGTTGTAGGTCCCTAGTTCGTAGATTTCAGAAAACATTCGACTGTGTCCATTATTTTTAGCGATGTTATTGCGTACATAATGTTATCCGTGGTTCACAAAAACTTACTTCTGGTAACAAGCACCTGTGACATAAGTAATGATTATGTCTGCCTTCTCGTAACTTCTCCTCTTTGGTACAAAATAGCAGCATCGCTTCGTTGCTCCGGATGAAAAACTACCCAACTAAACAGTTTGCTTCCTGACCCATTATGACTATGCAGTCGCTCACACCGTAATAAAAGCCGCTTCTGTCTTGGTCAACCAACACTCAGTATAGTAGAACTCCAAAGAATAAGCATTCCAAAAGTCGTAACTCAACTAAATTACCACGATTAATGGACCCAACCACTTCACTAGTTTAACGATCTTTAAAGTACCGAAATCGATTTATTCTTCTCGTAAGAAAGTTATCTCCTGATACAATCGTCTGTCCATTGTTTATACGCAATAATAAGATACTAAGCCAGACAACCCTCAGGCAGTTATATTTCTGGATCAGACACAATAGACAGAAAACACAGAGTCAGCGTCCTAAGTAATGATCTCCCTCTTCAAGACGTAAGGATGCGTCTGCGAAATTACCAACAGAGTGAAACCACTGCAACTTTTAACACATTTTTTGATGAATGAAAATTTATTCAATAAAAATAATAATCCGTAGAAATGTAATACAACTAGTCAGTATCCAGTGAGTGGAGTTCTTTAGTCCACAGCAACAACAAATGGCTAAGCGACGTATGTTGACTATTTTCAATTTCTCTGAAATTGAGGACCAGGCTTTCCTGCGCTCGGTTATCAGTAGCATTCAAAGTAGGGACCTCATGTAATAAAATAGAATTCAGATCATTTCGGCATTTCATCCTCATTTGTGTAACAAAATTACTACTATGGTCCATGTCCCCAACAATCAGAGCCAAAAGAGATGAGATTTCAGTCATGCACAACCTGCGTAAAATAGACTTAGTAGTTGTTTCATCTGGAATATTTTCACTTGGCTTAATAGAATATTCAGGTAAAGGTCCACCAGGAATATAATACGAATTAACATCGTTTCTCAGCAAGTTGTCTTCATGTGCACACCCTGATATAGTTGCTGAATTATGATTAAGGTTACCATCAGCTCGTAACTTTTCAGGATTCCTTATATATTCAGTGGTAGAATTGCTGGCGTCCAAATTTCTCTTAACAGAATCTGAACTGGTACAAGATTCTGACACACAGCAACCCATTTTTTCTGCCTTAGCCAAGTGCTTCTTTCCCTTCTTATGAGCAACTAAATGACACGACTGCATGTACCTATCACATACATCGCAATAAACGCGGTTGATCAAATGTTTGCCGAGTGATGATACTTTACTGCTATTCAATGTTGTTGATTTAGCAATGGAACCGTGATAACTGCTCTCTTTGTCAGAAGATTTCATGTTTTTGTGTATTCTAGAACCATTGTCACTTGCTATTTTGACGAGAGCGTTTTGATTACAGGAAGTGTTATTTAAATTCACAGATGAATCCTGACAATCTTGCTCAAAAATATGCTTCCAATATGCCTGTTGATCAACAAAAGTTATTTTGCAAAGAAAACATTCTGTAACCTCAGACATATCGACCCAACCTACGCGATAAAAATGAAAATGACAAATTATGTCAAGTAAATGGAACTACACAATAAGCATATAAAATCCACGGAAGAAAAAACTTAAATCTCCACAACTATGGTGAACGTAACAAATAAAGATTTCAGTTTCTTTCAATTCTATTAAAACCGAATTTCACTGCTCACAGTTTCAAACGAACCACAGAATTAGAAACAGATCTGCCCACTGCGGGTTAGGCAGACGAGTGATACCATCAGCTGTCACCCGATAAATGTAGATCGACGACAAACGAAAAGTCTGTATGACCCTACTGAGCTGCATAGCATTTCAGAGACAAGTTTGAAGGAAATGAATGATGATCTTACACTTGACCGAACACTTATGTCAAATATGTTAGCGACACCAACTTATCACACAATAATACGAATTACACTTGAAAGTTCATTTCGCTGGCTACTTGAGCGACAGTTAGTAGCAGGTCGGTCTTCATGCGGTGAAACCCAGGTAAAGTGTTGTTTTCAAAGTCTTCTGGAATTCAGATGTTTATCTAGCTGCAAAGAATAAGTGTATGATACAGGCACCTCAAGTATGCAAAACGTAGTTGCGATAAGTACTTAGTTTTAGACAGATTCATATGATTGATCACCAGTCTTCAGAAATTCTTTTTGGTAAATCATTCAAGATAAATCTCTTAGACGCCTTTTCGCGCAGTGAAAAGCGTTACTATATTGTTGAATCTATCTTATCAAATTGAATAAGTTATCTTATATATATATATATATATATATATATATATATATATATATATATATATATATATATATATATATATATATACTTCGGTTACGGGAGATTCATGAATCAAATAAGAGAATGAAGATCACACAGTCCTGTTAGGTGGAAACGCTGACAGCATATCACACTTTCCTAAAAGTAATTTGAGAATGTTATAGATGAGTTTGTCGCATTCCAAATGCTTGTAATTGCTTTATAGCCCGTACCCATCGATATTATATCAGAGCGAGAGTAAAAAGGTTGAATGTGCTGAAAACTTCACTTATTTGGGAAGTTGGAGCAGCTTTTGTAGGTCAACAGCCAACGAAACCTCAGCACAGATACCAAAGGCTCGATTGGTTCTCACCAATACCATTGGCAATATCCGACGGTCTACAAAAGGTCAAGCGTAATGCCAATAATATTAACGGCAGTTCCGTCTCCCAATTCCCTGCTCGGCTTTCGAAGCCAGCCACTCATTAAGTGTACGGTCATCCCGTCCTGTCAAACCGTTAGTCTACGGGTGGTACGGCGTCATTCTTATCCTCCTGATATCAAGCCGCTCCAGAAAGGATTTGAATTCTCCACTCTCAAAACAAGGACCTTGGTCGGTCAATATCATTTTCGGCACACCATGATCTGCGACAATATGTCACATCACCTCTGCGGTCACTGTCTTTGCACGTTGATCCGGAATTCCGACAGCGTCTACTCATGCTGTCATCACCAGCAGGTATTGGTTGCGACTAGATGTCTGCGGAAATGGCCCCATTACGTCCACAGACCGCAGGTCACCAACTACCTCCACTGGAATCGATTGAAACGACGGCTGTATATACCGATCACCTTTCATCAACTGACAATGAGGACAGCCTACAACATATTTGGCAACATCTCTCATACCTGGCCAGTATGCACTTTGCCTGAGAAGGTCGGTTGCCCGTGAGACACCTATATGAGCTAACTGGTGGCATTCTTGTATCATTCTGTCGCGTAGACATTTCGGAATCACTGCCAACCAGCTCCCGTCGTTTTCTCGCCAAGTCAACATTCCATAAGTATTCACCCGTAGGCGTTCTTTCTGCATTAACAACGTTCTCAACTCTTTATTTCCCACAGACTTGTTTGTCTCCGTTCCTTCAGTTGTGGCTTTTATCACTTCTTTAAGTGTAGGGTCCGACTTCTGAAGGCGAATGGGTCTTAATGGGTCCCATTTCGCTGCATGTACACCGTATGCGACCATTAGTTCATTTTCTTCGCCTGATTTTGATAGGAAGTCTGCCAACTAGTTTTCTTTTCATACGACATGGCCGATTATGAAATCGTACTCTTGGAGTCGTAACATTCAACGTGATAATTTTTCTTTGGGGTCTCGCTGTCTTAAGCCTTTGTAGAAATTTGCGGTCAGTTCCAATATGAAATCACTGACTGAGGATGCACGATCTCCATTTATGAAGTGCCCAAAACTACCGCTAGAAATTCCTCTTCAACCGTGGAATATTTATTCTCTGCAGGTATCAGGACACGAGTGGCATACTCCACTACTTCTTAAGTCTGTCTTAGAACTGCGCCTAGTCCATAATCACTCACATCGGTTGACACGATAAATGGCCTCCCAGGTATTGGTAGTTTTAGAGCCATCTCCTGGTCATTTAGGAGTTCTTTGATGTGATCAAACGTTTTTTGTGCCTCCTCCGTCCACATAAATGTGGGGTTGCCAAGTAGCTTATATAAAGGTGCTGCTATCTCACTCAACCTTTTCAGGAACCAAGTGTAGAATGCTGCTCTACTCAAGAACTGTAGCAGTTTCCTCTTGGAATTCGTCACTGAATGGTGTTAGCCATTAGAATCTTCTCAGGCAATGGTTTTATTTCACCGTTTTCAACTTTATGTCCTAGTAATGTAACACTCTTCCTGGCTACCTGAGATTTGTCTTACTGATGTAAAGTCCAAACTCGTCAATGAGACAGCTTCCAGGTGTTCTTGCTGCTCTGCTTCCGTCTGACTGTACACCACCAGGTCATCACTGTACACCTCTACGTTTTCTAAGTGCTTCAGCAAGAACATCAACCGTCTGAATGTAAATGGCGCGCTCGCCAGACCCAATGGCATTCGCTTGAATTGGTATTGCTTCTTGCCCACAATAAATGATGTTTTCCCGTTATCGTCTTTTTTATTGGTGGCTGCCAGTAGCGTGAGTGGAGGTCCAGAACTGTAAATATTTTTGCATTCTGCAAAACGATCCAGTGTTTCAGCTACCGTAGGCATGGGACACGGCTTCAGTTGCGGTGTGCTATTTAACTGTCGGAAATCAATGCAGAATCTATATTTCCCATTTGACTTTCTTACTAAAAGCACTGGCGGACTGTATGGGCTATCAGCCTGTTCAATAATAACTATTTCTAGCATTTCCTGAAAGTGGCACCCAACTTTCCCCTCCCAGTGACGTGGTATTCGCCGTGTTATAAATGTTGTCATCGCTTGACTTGTCAGTGGGATTTCATGCTGAACCTTGTCACAGTATCCGTAGGGGTCTCCATCTCCCGATTTGTTCGCATTCGAGCATACACAGCACCTCGATCTATGGCTCCTACAATATTTTCGAAAAACATAACTTATATTATGTCGTTCAAAACGTTTTCTTTTTCGTCTCTCCGGATATTTTCTTCTCCAGTGTCCAGGTTTTCCGCATGCAAAGCATTTACCCTGTCTCTTGATATTCGTTCGAGGTGCAGCCACCTCTTCCTGAAGGTTGTCGATTTGTTTGTCCAGTTATTTACCTCTGGTGACTCCACTGCAGCTACTGCTGTGCCCATCAGTTGTCTGGTCACCTTGGCCATTTCACTAATATCCATGTGTTGGGCAGCGTTGACCAGTCGTAGCTGCTGGGCGATGGCATTCGGGACATTTTCAGTGAACTGTGCAGCCAGTAACTGCTCCTGCGACTCCTCATCCAATGTGGGAAGTGCTCGTCGAAGTATTTTAGTCAACTTTACAGCCAATACCAGAGGATCTTCGTCTATTCCAAGTTTCGTGCTACGGAATTGCTGCATCGCCAGCTGCCTGTCCACTGGGCTGTCGAACTCCGCTTCCAGTCGTTCAACCATTCTCTGCCAAGTCTCATTCCCCTCTCCAAGTTTCACGCAGTCATACGCTGCTTTCACTCTACCCCCTCAGCAACGTGCCACCACCTTCGCTCCTGGATCCCAGACACGCATCAGCTCCGCAACCGACTCGAAGTTCCTGAGAAAGACCTTGATGTCTCCGTCCTCGAACTTTGCAGGCACAAGAAGACAGATACGAAGGAAGAAATGTTTATCGTCAACAAGTGAAGCAGCAGTCGTTAAATATGATACACCTTGCATTAAAACCATCATTTGCAAAATATGCTTCATTTCCTCGTCTGCTTATTTCTTGATCTCCTCTCCATGAGCCTGCCTTGTCTCGTGCGTTTCTCTTGGCAGAATCCTTACCCAATGCTGGTAATTCTCTATGATTTCTGCCACCCTCTCAACATATACTACTTATGTCCATTCTTATCAGCAACGCCCACCACACAACCACCTTCTCCATAATACGACAGACTACAGATGTAATATTTATGGGACGATAGTTTTGAATACTTGACGTTGGATCAGATTTATACATGGGAGATATGTATGACAGCTTCTGGCGGTCAGAGTAGCATGCCTCAGCAAGGGATATTGAGAATAGCTTCACTTCATAAGGATCAATGGTATGTCTTCACCGCCCCCCCCCCTCAGGAGAACAGATGGGATTCCGTCGGATCCGGTAGTGTGTGAGTTGTTTAGTGAAGCAACTGCACCAACTATCCTTTGTTGTGTGAAGGAAACATTATTTAGCAGACACTGTGATGGAATGGGCATTTGTATGTCTAGTACACTATCTTCAAGTGTGAAGCAGCTTGCAGAATGATTGCTAAAAGGTTCACGGATCTTACTTGGGTCATCTCATAGAATGTCCCCACTAATGATCAGATTACTAGGAATAACTCCAAATAAGCTTGCACGCGATCTTAGAATTCTCATCAAGGCTTGGACGTTGCAGCCACTTTCTTGTTTGATTGCTTTCCCTAACCTATCTGACTTGGAGTTTTCATGAGCAATTTTTAACGAGACAAGGGATAAAAAGTCACTAGACCGATAGAAATTTCTGACATGTTCGTGCATACTGATACGTACATTTTCTGGGATGAAATTCACTTTCGGATT